ACAGGGAGAGACCCTGCCAGGCACCGCCTCAGAGAAGAACCGAGCTGTACTGGGGGGACACACCCAGCCAACGTGTACGAGTTAAACAGAATTTTCTCTCAGAACTGGGACTTTCAGCACCCCCCAGGTGCTACTCGACTGCCACATACACACAGAGGGCTTCGTGAGGTGCTCTGGGGTTGGCCAGTCCTGCTCCAAGCCCTGCTGATGCCCCTGTGGTTTTAAGGATGTCCTCAAGGAGGTGGTAGAACCTCACAGTGTTTGCCCGTGGAGCTCAATTTCTGAAGTTTTCCTTGGGAAACGCACCCACTTCCTACTTAACAAGGCAGTCCCCTCTCCCTGCTCTCGGGAAGAGCTGCCCACAGGCACGGGAACCACCTTCCTCTCCTGATCGCCACGCTCTGCCCTTAAAACGCTGTTACTGAGGCCAGCTACTTCCAGACCAAGACTGTCCATGCAGGGACAGTGTCCCTTCTCTTCAGGGTCAGGGAAAAAGGGCAGAAGCACCTACAGAGCTTCAATGCCCCTCCTGAGCACAAAGCACCGTGAATCTGCACCTCCTGCTGCTTGCAGGGAAGATAAAAAAATACCTCAAGGTAAAAAATGATAAATGGTAAAAAATTATTACAAGAGGGTAGAAATGATGCCGCTTTCACTCCACTGCTAGAAATGACACATAAAACATAAAAAAACCCCTGTACCTGTTCCATTTCCAGACTGAAACAACAGCATATTCCTGGCTGCTCATGCAGCAGGGACAACAGCACTGAAGGGAAATGTTTGGATAATCACGTCTTCATTGAAAGAGAACACAATTCCTTCATCTAAGCCATCACTGCCCTCCATCAGAACAGCCAGCACATCCACGACATCTAATAAGTGAAGGAAAAAATGTAAGCAGAGGATCCAGACTGACTGGGAAAACAACAGAGGTAGAATGCAACATTCCAGGAACACAAGGTAGCTTTTTAGTCACAAAAATTAAAACAAAAAAACCACCCAAAAAAACTAAAAAAAAAAAAACCAAAAACCCCCAAAGGCACATTTGCCAGGCAATACAATGATAGGGGCAGCACAAAAATCCCAGCTGTACTTCACTCTGCCTTTCAAAGCTGCTGTCCAGCACAGGCTGCCCACAGAAGCTGTGGCTGCCCCCGGATCCCTGGAAGTGTCCAAGGCCAGGCTGGACAGGGCTTGGAGCACCCTGGCATGGTGGAAGGTGTCCCTGCCCATGGCAGGGGTGGAACGGGACGAGCTTTAAATAAAGGTGCCTTCCCATCCAAACCCTTCTGGGATTCCACGATTCTGTGAGCAGCCCCAGGCAGAAGGGCTAAATTTCCATTG